AACTAAGTATCCTATGACTTCGGCCGCGGAAGCCTACGAACTAATTTTAGAATAACATTGATCAATTTTAATTTATAATTATACATATATGGTCCTCTATATATATTTTTATAAGAAATTGAGAAATATATAGAAGACCATATATGAATAATAATTATATTATTAATAATAAGACAGTCATAGCATAAGAAAATTATAATTTATCCAATTATATTTTCAAGAAATATTTGCATCTCCTTTTAGAGTCAGCGTTGAAAACTCCCGCTTAAAAGTTTCTGGAAATGAAACATGAAATCACCTTTTACCAGCTTCTTCTTACCCCGCTGACGTAACATAAACAATTCCGATTATTCTGTCGTGTTCACTTATGTTCGAGGTTTTCTCTGAACACTTATACACATTACCTATGAACACAAACGTAACTATAAAATTGTATGTATGTAAATGTAATAATATTGTAAATGTATGCACATGTTTATGAAATGTCTTCTCTTTCCGAATCGTGGGATAAGTGCAAGGGGATTAGCTGGGGAGCGAGGGTGAAAAAAAACTGACCTCTGGATGCAGTCTTATACTACGAGATGCTGCAATGTTGGCGTGAGACCGACGGAGGGAGTCGCCGACTGCTCGCCCTTTGTTCTTCCGCCCCCTCCCTTCCCCTCCCCTCCCCCCTTCCCATCGCAACCTCCGAGTGCCCCAGCTGGCGCGCTTGACCGTGGCGCTCTCACATGAGCGGCGGCGACGTAGGTGGAGGGGGAGGCCGAGGTGGAGGGGGAACGGGTAGCGGAGGCGGCGGCGACGGCGGAACGAGTGATATATATAGTACACTGACAGGCGGTGTTGGTGATTGTTGCTGATATCAAAACCCAAGGCTTGGTACGCGAAGTGTAGCGAATTGAAAAGTAATCGAAAGTACAGGAAGTGGGACACCCCATTCGAATGATGCAAACGAAAAACTTGGGCGTGGATGGCCGTAGGTATGGTGCGCCGTGATTAACAAAACTATTGGAATAACGTTCAATTCAACATCTATTTATTTCATTGTAAAAAATGTGTTAACATGTTTTTCAGTTTATTGAAAAAAAAAGGGCGTTGGCATTTTAAAAAGCGATACTTCATTTTTACATACAATCCATTTTCGACCTGAATTGGAAAATTCTAACAAAAAAACCAAGACATTTCGTCTAGAAATATTGCTTTTCTGATCTTTTCGAAGTACAAACGAAACGTTTCAAAACTACAAAAAGTCAAACCAACATCAGAATGACAAATCACATATATATCGCCACAGAGGTTACATTTTAATTATAGGTCTGTCAGATGTGTAGTTAGGATGGTTGAGTGAAGCATAGACTTCAACTGGTAACCTTCCTATGCAATTGGTTTTAATTTGGTTTGTTGATCTCCTTTTCTCTTCACAACGGAAACGACAATTTCCTTGTCACATCGTTCAATGGTATTATTCCACAATGAATTGTATACTTATGAACGTTATCGCCAACAATTATTGTTCCTAGCATCGAATGCAACAGTGCCATGAACTATTATGCGATTCATTAAACACTTTCGAAGCAGGGAGTTTTCCGTTTTCCTAAACGGGATAACCATAGGACGGGATAGACCAATATTTTTGAAATTTGCCCTCAGGGGATCGAAGTAACCTAATCTGGCATTAGATACTGTTAGTGCAGTCGGATAATTCCTAATGAGTTGGACATAAGATCAATTCATTCTGAAATGTAAATATTACTGGCTGCCTTCAGCTGCATTTATTTACAGTCAGCTTTGAGGAAAACTCTATACGAAATATTTGTGTTCACTATAGATTATTCATTTAGACCCATCATAATCTAGCCATTGTTTTGTGTTACATTATATTTGATACGTACAATTAATAAACAATTACATTGATTCAATTCAGTAGGTACTCCAAATATAAAGGTTTATAAATTTGATTTTGATTACATCGTTATATCACTCAAACATGATATATCGATTCAACAGTACTGCCCTGTACATATTTAAATAGTGCCCTGTACATATTTAAATAGTGAAACAATAATCAAAAAGCAACAAGTAATAAGTATTGTATTTTACTTCTAAGTCAGATTTGAATTATCAGCTACCTAATAAAATCCATTAATATTTTTGACAAACTCTCATTTTCCATAAATCATTTCCTAGCTTTTACTGCTGATCGTGTATCTGATTTTCCTTATCGCCGTGCCTCATGTCCGTCGTTAAAACCTTATATCGTAATTCAATACCCAACGTTTAGGGCCATAGCCAATACATCGTTTCCTTTAATTTATTTAATAGCACGGTTATGGCTTTGAAGTGGTGTGCCAGTGAATTCATAGGGTGAAAAGGGAAAATGCACCTTCAGGATATATGTCCATTTTACCCTTTACGTGTTACTCATACGAATTAACAGAACAATTACCAAATTTTACCAAATATTACAATCTCGATTACCAAATCTTGCGGGTAACGTCATCGAAATCTGCTGACGTATGTTCACGTTATCTGTTCAGAGTTCAGTTTTGTTCGCTTTTAGAAGATGAAAGGTTTTCCATACACGAGGCACAATAAACTTATACGTAGATGGGTAAAAACTCATCGTCTCTAAGAGTCTTCAGTTTTGAAGCTGCACGTAAATCCACCTCAAAATAATTATTCTTTTACGAAATCATTTGCCAAATTTCGTACGTCACAATTTTTGTTTCAATAAAAATAATTATTTTGCTTGCTACGAGTTATTAGTTTTTCCCGTATTCCTTCATATACTCTTGTCCTGAACTCAGACCCATTAACTGGTTTCTGATGCTAAGGTAATTTTGTTATAACCCCTTGACATATTTAAACGATTTATGTTATCATTTATCAACAATTATATAGTAGTATCAAAAATATATATTAGAATCAACAAACTATCTATTATTATCAAGAAATTATATATTATTATTTATCAACAATTATTTAATAATGCAACATGAGTTTTCGCAGAATTGGTTTAAACACGCGATACACAGACCCTGTTAAGGGCTAAACTGGCCCGGAAGTCTAGACACCTATCACCAGTCACTCCAAATACGATGTATAATGTGTAATCGGCAACAGGAGGTTCGAAAATAGAATGGACTTGTTCGAATCTTGGCGGTGGCTTACTTTCAACACCACTCATCTAAATGATTGCCCATTCTGTTCGAATAGTCACTTTATGGGTCAGATCCCTAAACCACCACCGCGTGATCCTCCATGCTGTACAAAGTGAATGCAAGGTACCAGCTCAGAATAATATTAATAAAATAGTAATTTCGTTTTATCTGTCGATAGATCGACACACATTTATTCCTCTGTTCTTTTAATTCGTACCTCGGAATAACCTACTGGCAGGTTCATCGATGTTAAGAAAATCTGAAGCTTTTTTTGTGAAGGCTCTTGGCTGTCCAGGTGATGTGTCATGGAAATGATGGTCAGGATCGTGGTCCATACACAGCCGCACTGTAAAAAACTTGAGCGCCCACCACCCTGGTTCATTCCAGCCCTGAAGAAGGAAGACTTCGATAGGATGGTCCAATCGTCGGGATCACTTTCCTCACCCGAGAGCCTTCACTTGACTCTGGCGGCGGAAGCCTACGATTGCATTTCTTTTTATTCCCAGACCGTACCAAATAGATAATTTATATTTGTTGAGATATATTCCATCACGCGTCTTGGAAAAAAGCCATATAAACGCATAGAAATAGTAACGTGCGCCAGGAAAGTCACTCCGCACCAAGTCAGGGCCTCCTATAAAAATTGGATTTATGTTCCTAGCAACCAGATCACATGGAAACAAGTGAAGAAAACAGCTCTCCGAGCATCTACATGTTCTGGCGAGCAAGCAATTTGCGTTTTCTTTTGTTGCAACCTGCAGCTCGTGTTACCAACATAATTAATGTTGCCAGCCCTCTCACCAGCAAGGTACCACTGCGGAGGCACTTTCTGGCGCACTGTAGATGGTTTCCATATTTTGCCCGCCTTCTCGCGCCTCCAGCCCCATCGTGCGGCGGGGACGGCTGGGCACGGGCGCGCGCGTAACGCGATTTAAACGCTCTGCGCGGCGAAGGCGGGCGTGGGCGAGGGCGTGGGCGTGGGCGTGGGGCTGCCCCGGCGCGGCGGGCGGCGCATCGCGGCGTGGGCGACGCGGGGGCCATTGTTGCGTCATAATCGGCGCGACGCGGCGCGGCCGGCGCGGGCGGCGACGCCCCGGCCAACGCACGTAAACACTCCGCGCCACGGACGCCCAGGAGGATGGGGCGGTGCTAGGAAAACTCGTGAATCGATGGGACGACACGCTCGCTTATGCTTCACCTCTGGGTTGATTGATCGCTTCGACTATGGTAATGGGACGCATCAACTATGGTTATCAGTCCCGTAAAAGTAGAGCATGTTTTCTCATGGTGGTTGTCTCCCCCGTTGGATGATGAGATCCGGCGCCGATCTACGCGTCAGCTTTTTCCCTATCAAGGTATCTCCCACTAGCGGGGCACCGCCCCAGCCACGACAAGCTCTAAACTTCCGACTGTTCGTCCCACATGCGGGAAGTGTAGTGCATTTACGTATGTGTAAGTCTTGAGCATTGGACAAGGAAGAGGAAGGAAAGGTAGCGAGTGGTTTGTGACCCGTTTTTAAGGCCAATACTCCGGCATTCGTCTGGTGTTGAACAGACTGGCGAACGAACAGACAGGCGGACAGGCGGACACATTTACACGAACAGACAGTAGACGAACAAACACGCAGACGAGCACACACGCCGTCGTATCGATGGATTCCAGTGAATGAAATGATGGATTCCAATGATGAACTGAATGAAAGGCTGACGGATTGAATGAATAACTGACAAACTGAATGGCTGACGGACGAAGTGCTGACGGCCGGAGTGACTGACGGACGGAATGAGTAACTGGGAAAGTGACCGATGTAAAGACACAATTCTCGGAGTCGCCAAAACTTACGTTTCCATCACCGATTTGGTTTCACTGGTACTATAAGTATGCAAGAATATATAATAATGACTTAATTTTTAATAAGGGCAATTTCCCAAATGTTAGGCATGTTATAACGAAATTAATTAATTTTAACATGACTCTATGTCTTGCCGACAGCGAATACGTTTTGAGCGTGCTATTATTTGTAAGATTTAACCGGATGAACTAGCGAATGACATTTGGCCGGGGAAGAAACACCGTTTCACCGCCAGCTTCGCTGCAATGGCTGAAACCTTTCGAACAAGGCCTTTAATATTCTTCACGTAGAGTAAGTCGCTCGCTGCGCTTCCCATCGGAGAAACCTCGCGGAAGGGGCGCGGCCTTCGGAGACAGAACGTGACAAGCAGTGCGGGAGAGGCGGAGCGCCTGGCGCGGGCTCGGGTGCGGGTGAGGGGAAGCCAAGGGGTGGAGAGGGGATTGAAAGGGCGCGAGGGGAGTGGGAGAGCGAAGGCGTGTATAATAGGGCGTGTCGAGAGCATTAACGATGCCCTACGCCCGGGCCCGGTACTGCACGCCGCGTTGTGAAAGCAGCAGCCCTCTGGCGGCGGAACGATGCAACCAAAGGGCGGCGTCGGCAGGGGGGAGGGGCGTCGAACAGAGGGTGCGAGGAAGCGGAAGTTGCGCTCTGAACTTCCGCCTGGAGGCATCCGTGACAGTGCGGCAAGGTTGGGGACGTGCCTTTTAAACTGGCTGACACACAGCAGAGCACTAATAAATTGATTGATTGATGTTTTCGGTGTGTCTACTACTAAGAATGTCATTAGTCCCGTAAGCACAGTGCTTGTTTTTATCGCGGAAGGAGGCTGCGATCTCCCCCCCCCGCTGCATGGCACGATCCGGCGCCGACCTACGCGTCAGCAAGTGGGATTTTCCCCAATCAAATTCTTAACTGAGCATCTGCTATCAGCACACAGCTGGTTTTCAGTTCCAACCGCCACTGCCATTGGTCTAAGAGGTTCTCCGTCACGCGTCGTAGATCTGGGACGCGCTGAGATGCGTAATACATGAGACACGATGTTCACTCCTGGTTCGTTGGTAACCAGTACTCGAAATAGGAATAAAGATATAATCGAAAAAAATACGTACTTTGGATTCAGATCTATTCAATAGTTTTTTTCGAAGTAGAGAAAACTATTAAAATTAAATCTAAAAAAATCAATTAGTATCATATTACTAGTGTTTGCGACTCGCTCTGCGCCACTTCGTTTTTTAAATCTAATATACTTCAACTACAGAACAGTCCTGCCTGTTTTATTGTGTATATAGACTGGAAACTTAACCTTATTCAATTTTACGCCCACACCTACACTCAATTTTAGTCTCCTCCCAGAATATTGCATGCGCTACTCACAGGATTAATGATCAAAGTAGATCGAAATACTCATTCTCATATCAAAATAAAACTTTCAGTCTGAATAAACCGGTGTATTAAAAGAGAGACGTTGCGGTGGAACACGGCGTATCGTTGCGAGCAGAGCCACTCCCCCGCGCCCCGCCCCGCACCGTCCAGCCCGCCCGTCACGCGCATCCGCTGCTTTCCCAGAGCGCGGAGGCGGCCGCGGCGGCGCCC